ACACTGGCAAATTTCATATAGAAAACCTTAAGATTTCCCCTTCTCTCTGCCCTATGATGATAGCCTAGGATTACGTTCTCTGACTGATTCCAAATCTGTTGGTTTTCGATCCTGGCTTTAAACAATCCAACGTCTAGCCACACTGAATCGCTTTGATACAGCGAAACAGTCTATCTCTTGACGAATATATATATATATATATATATATATATATATATATATATAAAATAAAAAGTCTTAAACAGTAATATTCCTTGGTTATAGTTTATTACATTGAAATCATAATTACGATCCAATTCATCAGACCTAGAAATTAAAAAATAATCGGAAAAAATAACTCCGGGAATAAAAAATAAAATGTAGTGAGAGTTTGTGTATGAGAGTGGGGGACGAATTTGAGAGGTAAATGAATGCTATAAAGAGGGGTAACAGACGAGAGAAGAACAGGAAGGCCTAAAAGTGAAGGTGGGGGTTAAAATTTAACAGAGAGTTGTTTTAAAGAGAGGAGTTTAAAGACGGTTTAAATGAGTGAGAAACAGATAAATATGAATTATTTTCCGATACATAATTCATTACTAAAACGCTAACCTAAATTAAATTAAAAACCGACACCGGAAACGGGTGTAAACATTTGTGGTGACACTACGCACAATAAATGACGACATAGTCTAAATTTAAAATTCAGAAGATGAGAGAGGGAGAGGGAGAGAGAGAGAGAGAGAGAGAGAGAGAGAGAGAGAAGCAGAAGAAAAGAAAAAATGTGTAGATAGATAGATAGATAGATAGATAGATAGATAGATAGATAGATAGATAGAGTTAAAATTCAGACGTTTTTCTTTCTCGTTATTTCTAATATATTCTTCTCTTCCCTTACATACTTTTACGGAGTTGATTTGTTTTTTTGCATTGCCTTCACTTACATAAGATTCTATGATTTTAAAATCATTGACTCTTATGCCCCTCAAATCGGTTACGCCCTTCACCATCACGTGTCATGCATCATTTTTCGTCAAGCAATCACCAGTCAAGGGATATCTTTATTACTTCCTACATTTGCAGAAATAGGGTTAGAAGTTTAGAAATACTAAATTTCAATATTGTCCAGTCGCGTTTTTTCACTGAAACAATAACTTATTGAAAGACGTTACTTTTTGTGCGGTCTAAAAGATTTAAGGGCATGATTTATCAAATTAAATTGACAAAGGCTTTAAATATTTTCATCTATACAGCTTTTGTAAATGAAAGAAATGGTATTGTTTGATATCTCAGCTCCGATTCATCACCTAAGATAAAGAAAGGAATTTTAGGAATTAAGTTTTTAATTCCTTAATCTGATATATTCTTCTTACATAAACCTTATTTTTAGTGGCTACTAGTATTTGTGTAGGTGTGCTGTTTATTTACTAAACAGTATACTTGTCTTCATCTACCAGCCTGTCATAAGATTTCTCGAATATTCGGGCCGGGAGATGAAAATAAATAAATATACTCATTTACTAAATAAACACAGAATCTATACAAATATGGAATCTACTGAAAATAACGTTTCCGTAATAAAGTGATGTCAAAAAATCTGAGATTAATAAATGAAAAATCATTTCCAATTTAGAATTTAACTAATTTTTTTTTTCTCCCATCAATCCTTTGATCCCTGACCATCGCTTTACCGGTAGTAGAGAAAAAGGGCGTAATACACTGTTACCGGTTGATCGGTGTGTAAAAACTCGTAACTATTGTTATAGCTACAGTGAAATATTTTATACCAATTATTTGTGAATTTTAACCCAGGAGCTCAGACAGAAGGGTTAAAATTGTTCAGGAACGCAGGACTGAAAGAGTTAATTCCCCTCTTGATACGATTCGATTTGCTTTTGCCCCCCTCAATAAATTTTATGTTATCTGTTGACATGCCGATTTTTTTTAATCCTTGTTGATCACTTTCTGTCACATTTTCTAGTGATTTGTTGGATTTGTTAATTAGATTTATTTATGATGACTCAGACTTTAATGTCCACAAGAAGCGGCTTGCGTGAAGTCGAAGATTGCGTGGATAACTTCAGAAAAAGCAGAGATCATAAGATCAGATTTCAAATAGGCTTGTTCCGTTTAGTTTACCAGAAACTTAATTTCGACTTGAAAGAGCCATCCGAAAATACGAGTTTTGTATTTTTAGAAAATATATATTGCTATTAGAATTAATCATACAGACAGAAACACGTACACAAATGCACACACATATAAAAGAACTTTGCTACAAAAACATTAATTACTATTTTATTATTTTGTCTATGAAGTCACATGCGGATATTAGTGAAAATGAATTCCGCAAATAATATCTGGTATTTTAAAAATCCACTCAATAAACATGCGTTTCTGCATTCTTGTAGGTATTAGGTAAGTGGTAGTCTAGCTAAAAAATTTTGACAGGAAAAGACGTATAAACTTAAGTGAGTCATGGAAATTGTCCTACGCGAAAAACAATGGACTCATTCACATGGAT